GACCTGTGTAATGCTGTTTCCCCAGTTGTATAGTGCTTCTTTAGCTTCAGTTCCATCTTGACAGCTATCAACTAATGGTGATCTGAAGTTATGTTAACTCCTCTCCTGGTTCTCACCTCTTCTATTGACCTTATGAATTTTTCAGTGATACAGATGTGATATAACTGGTTCCGTTTGGTGTGGTCCGGTGAGGTCTATGTAGCTTTGTGTATGCGATTATGTGAAAATATTGTGCCTCCATAACCAATTTGTTGAATCCAGATAGATTTGCAAAGCTCTCGCCATTCTCGTTCATATCTCCTAGTCCAAGTCGTCACATGATATCTTCATACCCGATGTTGTCTATTCTGACTTTGACGTTTAGGTTTCTCTTCAAGATGTTCAGGTCTTTTCCTGACCACTTCTCTGTGACTGATTGCAGCATTTTTTTCGTGAGCAGAGTACAACAGCATTTCTCCTGAATTTATCCTTTTCTTTCCAGATTGAGTTCAATGGACTTCAGTGATTCTGAGAACATTCAAGTTGTATCTTCTCATTTCCGTAGCCATTTAACTGGTCCTTCCGGTCTCACATATTGTCTGAACATTCCATGTATGTGTATTAATTGTTGCTGTGGTTGTTAGAAGGAGCATGCTCCTCATGACCTCCAAAGAATCTCAGCTTTCACCATGAGGCGTCATAGTTCTACTGAATGAAGATCCTTCAACTCGGAGGGTAGAATTTAGATGGTTTAAATTGTTTATTCTGGTTAGCTTTGTTAGTAAGGTTGTTTCCTACGGGTTGGGGTTGCTGACCGCATTCCCAACCCTCCTCCTTTGTGTGGGCTTGGGACCGGCAGTAACCCTAGAATAGCTAAAGGTTGAGTTTTACAATAGGATCTTTTAAACGATGTGCTATTTTCTCTTTTCTTCGATAGTAGACCGATAATTAACTACCTTTCTGAAAGATTGTTGCCCAGTTACAGTCAATAAAATATCTGGTCATATAATATTTGACCAGATTCACTTTGAGGTATTACATATGACTTCTCTATGAAACAAATGAAGACATGAAATTTTACGTCCTTTTCTTAGGCTATTCATTACTATGTAAATGTTTATCATTTCTAAACTTTTCAGTGTTTGCATAAATACACCGAATCAAACTAAAACAATTTAATCCAAAGTTAAATATTATTTACTGGTCATCTGCTGCTAATGATCCATCATTTTTACAAAAATGAACGATTGAAAAGGTCATTACTGGACCTCAGAAATTAATTATGAGCGTAGATTATTGATTAAATTACTCTATAGCAACTTCAAACTGGTAATAAAATACTGGCACTCGTAATAATGATAAAGATGACATTATTTTCTTTTTTTCCACTTGAATCTCATTTATTCAATTGACCTTATGGGGACGAGTTTTCGTATATTCTTCAGCCTGGTAAACACTATCACACCTAAAATATCATTAATAAACTGATTCAGAGAACTGGACTGCACAAATACTGAAAACTTTGCCAGAAATGATTTGTTTTTTAATGTTATTCAAAAACCCGGACAATATATTTCTAGTCATCAGATGTATTACAAAGAATGTTATGTACGCACGAAAAATTAATTTACCTATTAAGTTAAAAGAACTGAAACTATCATCTTAGGAATTGAGTTACTTGGAACAAACATTCATTACAGTTTTTATACAAAGATAAGAGGCTCATTATTTATTATTGAGCAACTCAGAAATTCATTCAACCACTGACTGATCCTCATTGACTTAAGTTACTGCTACATATATACATCTCCATTTCATTTTCATTGTATTATCAGTATATTCTTTTAAGTGATTAGATAGGCAAAGATTAAGTCTCTTACAACTTTCATTAGAGCATATAACCCTTAAACACTTCAGAAATATTATAAATCTATACAGTAAACTAAAGCTTATAACTGAAGGCTAAAAATGTTTTATGATTTTATATTGATGACATTGACGATATCTGGGTGCACATAAAAAGTGATATTCCCGAACCTCATGTACCCTTGTGGTAAAAGCAAATGTTCTTCACAGGTATATGTATGTATCACTTATAAATGATATGATTCATCGCATATACATGTACGTATATGTCATTTACAACTGATTTTGCTTCTACGAATTTCATCCCACAGGATAAACAATTAACAACGTAGAAAAACTATTATTTGGTATGGCCAAAAACAATAACTGTTACATTTTACAGTCTTTTTTTAATCAGCTAGTATCAAACATAACAGTAGTTCTCAATAATAAATATATTTTTGTTAGATCCCAATGACCATAAAATTGGGATATAACAAAAAAAATATATTTACCACTAAATTTCTACCTAATGTCCAAATTATTTGAAACTACCGAGTCCAACCTTGGCAATGATACCTATAAACTCAGTAATTTTTAAGATAACTAGTCGTCAAACTGGTGGCGTGAATTTATCTTCTGCAAACAATTGGAACTAATGCAATCGAAATTACCAAGGTAAGCCTTCAAAAAATGTCTGTTATTGTGTTTGTCTTTCTAGGTTTTTAAATTTTCTGTCTTACGTTTTTGGTGTTTAGAGCTACAACCAGCTATAATTCTAAGATATCTAGCTATTTGTTTAAAATTAGATCTTCTCAATAACATAGATCATTTATTTTCTATATAAGTTTTCCGATTCCATAGGCCGTATATACTATATTTTCCAAGGTTTTATCACTCTAGAATTGAATGAAAATATCCATAATAAATAGTGATGATGGGCTCTTGAAAATGTTTTAAAACACATCTACTAGTCTTCAATTATTAGGTTGTTTTCCTCGCTTAAGTTTAAAATAGTAAGTGGACCTATTTCAATGATCCCCACCATCACAGAACAAATCTTTGTGAGTAATACAAATGATTTGCACGTTTCTCGGAATCTCTCTTGGACAAATCACATGTTTAAAAACCTTACGAATCAAACATATTACGTGAAAGATTGTAGACATTTTTAGCAAGAATGTATTTTTGTTTTTAACGCTACTAGTTTATTAGGCTAACGGATATATATTTTTGAAAACTCTTCTTGACTTACCGAATCATCATTAATTTAAAAACGATATGAATAATCTCTACATGAACCATGAAAAGCTTATTTTAATATGAAGTCATTTGCACAAATCCGTATTTTTCGAATATTTATAAGGTGCTTCATTTTAATCATATTTCAGTGCTATATTGTTAAAATTATTTAATTGACAAGGAAAACCAATTTCGTATGCCCAGTATTTGAACAAAACATTTTTCTATTATAATCAATCATTATGTATTCAAGGAATGCAATTTATCTACCTCAAAGATAAGTAAATGTTATAAGGAGATGCTCATATTCTGTAGATAAAGAAATTCATATTTCCAAAATAATTTTTCATATCAGCAGATATTAATATTTGAGACTTGATGGTACCTCCAATCCATTCAACGTGAGTATCGGTCCATCTTTCTATCTCAGCAACATATTACCAAAACACATCTATGGCTCAAGTTCAATAATACAGTCGATACCGAATTTGTCCAGCAGCAAGAAGTGGTAGAAGACGAAAAATACAGAGTTCGAGCACTTCCTCCGTATATGTATGGGCCATCCTCTGACTGCTTTCTTAGCAAATCTGATATCTCATTTCACTACTTAGAAACTATCTTTGCACTCAATAATGTGGGTTTTGTCCATATCAACTTTAGGATTTTCATTAACAATTAATTCCCTTATATTTACTCATGCATAGGGTAATACTCATCATTTTTATGCTAATAATTTTTGAATAAACCTTGGTCTAATATTTGTCTCTGATTGTTTCGTTTTACAAGCAGTCGAGAATAAAACATACTTAAACTGAATCTTTATTTAATTAGTTGTATGGATATTGACTATTTCTTCGACACTAAACATCAAAATTAAACTTTCCCTTCTTGTTCTTCTGCTGTAAGATGTTTCATTTTCTTTTTTTCAGCTACATGGTCTGAATACTTTTATTTATGGTTTCATATAAATAGCTTGGTGCTTAATCAGTAGTCTTTGTGCAGTAAAAGTGGACACAACTCGGAAGCTGATATAACTGCTCATTTTAAAGGTATGCATTTCATGAAAACTTTCGACACGATAAAATATTCTCCCTCCTCTCAATAACACTTGAGCTCACCTGATGACAGCCAGGTAAAACAAAGGACATTATGTAACTGCCATCTCATTCTAACTTAATTAAACGCATGATGATATGTAGTTTAATGAAACTAATTCGAGTTTCTGGAGTTTACAAACAATCACCCGTATTCTATGTTATTTCAATAATGAAAACTTGTTGATTTATATGTGCATATGTTTAAAATACGCATCATTTTAGGAGTTAACTGAACTAACAATGGAGGATGGAATGACATTAGAGAAGTTGACTTATTGAAAGGTTTTTAAATATTATAGCATATATCCAATTAAAACTTGTTGATATGTCGAAGGCAAGGTGCTGTTTGGTCGCAACTATGAATTCAAATAAATTAAGCGATAAAGCACACTACTACATCACGTTTTTGAAATGTGAGATAAAAAGTAATCTGAAACAGTTATTCATCTTAGCTTCATTTTTCTTATAATAATAAGAAAAGCCTAACCCTGAAGAGCCAAACTTTTAGCAAGCTTTCGTGATACTCACAAAACTAGTGGCCCTGAATAGCATAAAAAGCAGTTCTTTGAACTCTTCTAGGACAAATCAATTGTAGTATTATTATAATTTTAATTTGCTGGTACAATCTAGCGTACTTAGTTTAAGTACATAGACCTGTGCCACTGGGTTGTTTAACGTGGAAAAGATATGATGGATACAAGTGATCTTTATGTTTTGCCCTATACAGTGCGTTCACAGGCGACCTGCTTTTCATTATAAGTAGATAGTATGTACAGAGAGATTTGTTAATTAATTATTTCACAGGTTTTAATTCTCGCGAGCTGATAAGCACATAAAGAAAATATTTTTATCTGAGTTATTATTTACTTGGCTCATTTTACAAATAAGTTTCACACAGGCATTAAATGAACATCCTATTATGTTGTTTTTTATGTATTTCTCAATGCCTTCTCTCAAGATCAAGAAGCAGCTACTTTTTGTTGAACTGGAAGATACAATTTGAACTCTGGGGGTAGCTCGCTTTCTGAATACAACCGATCACAAAAGTAGACTCTGCGTATGCGACAGTTGGCATGAATCTAAAATATGAAAACCACTATATTTATATCTTTATAAACATAGACATTTTAGAGCAAACAAATTTGGCATCAATGATAAGTTTATTGCAGCCAGCTACAAGACCCTCAATGAGTACTTAAATGTCAGCATAATCAACAGTTCAAGAAGTTGAATGATATTACTGAAGTCTGCTAACAAAAAATAAACTTAGACTCCATCTCCCCTCACGATATGGAAGCCTCCTGTCATTCAATATCTTTCACACTATATGTTTATCGTTTTTATTGTTTTTCATGTTTATTTAATACCCAGTCTTCGACAATACTAGCGTGAAACTTGTTAAGCCTTGTACTAATGACGTTCATCTGTAAAGCCTCATTTTATTCTATCAATATCACTGACACCAATAATTAATACAACACAACTCAAAGTGGATTCCAATTACTATTCGCCAGAGATGGCATATTCTGCCAAAAAGATCCATATATATAAAGAAGAGCTATAAGTAAATAAAAACTATCGTCATTTAGATTATTTGTCTATTCTGTGTCGGGAAAGCGACAATTTAGTAAAACTTTAATATCTTGGTATCCAAGAATAGTGACGACTCTATAAAGTACAATCCTTTGAGCTTATTTCCAAACTCATAATAACATATTACTTTCATTATGAATCTTTGTAGTGTTGATTGATTTCCCAGAGTGATCCGACAACACTGTTTGCATGATATATCCAGTATGAACTTAGCTCCTTTACTATTCAAAGATTCTAAATGACAGCTTCTGAAATTGGGGTAATTTGGACTTCAGTAATCTCATAGTTTAGCACCATAAATTCACTTGTTAACAAATCCAAACAGACCCTTAGTCGTACGATGCAAAAAAGGAAACATCAATATCAATCAAATATAACTACTAATTGATAATATCTTACTATTTTGAACTTCATATTAGAAAGATACTTGTTGAAAAAGTCTGCCTTCTTTCTACATCCAGGAATAAACCGGCATAAGAGGACGACAAAAGTAATATAACTGTACTTAAACGTCATCAGCTACCAACTGATGTGTACTGAACCTGTTGATGATGATATGAAGCACAATACATATGTGTTAGCGATACGCTTGTGCTGATCCGAGAAAAACTGGGGTATACTTTATTATTTTTTATAAATTAAATTTTAAATAAATCAGCTCGATCAGTTAGCAAAAATAACCTAAACCAAAAATAACTCCTGTCAAAGTTATCCATTAGCGCAGACTATAATGAAATTGGAGAATTACCTCAAACTGCGTTTAGCGAGTCTGTTTAGCAAAGGGGCAAACTATTCGTTCATCAGGTCACTTGATCAAGCTTGGAAGTATCTTTAGACAAGTTACTAGAGATTGTAGTTGGCTAAAAACAATAATAGCAGCTGCAGATGAGCTATTCTTTTGTGTCAAAAAATGATACTAAGATCATCCAACACCGCAAAACGCATAGTATTAGAGATACAATGAGCAAACTTTTAAACACTAATACATTATGTTGGCACTTAACAACGATTATACATTATTCGTGTAGATTGATATGTGAAATTTCTTTGGTTTACATCACGAACTCATTTTATCTAAGCGACCTTTGAAAACCAGGAAGGATTGTATAGCCGTTTGTCCTATCGTGAAACTCCTCAGCAATGTGCATTCAGAACCCCTCATATGTATATAGACCTCAGGAGCTGCATGATTTAAACCATGAAAATTTGCGTAACAGCAAAAAACTGACAATCTTTTCAAATTGTTAAACATTGGTCTGCCATAAATTTATGTTAGCCATTAACGCATTGCATTTACAAATAACGAATTTGAATAACTGATATTGTCCTGCAATTTCTCTTGTTGTGATGCTTAACATTTCTGAATGCTTTTAGTCATTTCGTTTTTGCAGAAATTATTTTGATGATTTTAGACGTTGAAGATTATTTTTATTGTAATTAAATATACGGCTAAATATAAACGTTTTCAGAGATAATTTAAGGATTTTGAGCAAACATTCCGAGCTTTGAGCTTAGATTCAATTGTTCAACATATTCTGGATACACAAGGAAAAATAGGCTGGGTGGCTTTAAGGCCTAAACTATTACTCCGAACTACGATTGCTCACTTGTGTTCGTAAACACATTATTAGTTCTAGACAGAAAGTATAAACTGCTATCTAAATGCTTTTGGCACAGTGTTAAAATTGCTATGCATGAATCATATTATTTGTCTAGCTAGCCTTTAGGCTAGCTTGTCAATCGAAAACATTTGTACAAAAATTGTATGATAATTAGTTCTCTGAGTGTTTTACATACATGAAAAGTTACCACCAAAATTGTCAATATCCAAATAATCTAAAAGATGGTAACATTACACAAATTCAAAAGTAAACAGTTATCGAGGAGATAACTAAGCTCCTTTGTAACTGTCTAATGAGATGTAAATGCTTTAATGGTTTGAATTTTCACAAATAACATTGAGATTAACTTATACCACCAGAAAGGTTCATTTGAATCAGCGACGAAACTAGTTGCAAGGTCTGGTATGTATATATGACATCAATTCACACTAGTGTTTTTCAATATTTAGCTGCATTTTAACGCCAACCTACAGCAGAATATTGAGTAATCTGACTACGCAAAATTACAGAAAACATTAGTTTTCTTTAATAAATCATCATTCGTCGCAAAATAACATAAAATGGCTTTAGTGGTAAAAATCAATACTATGGTAAAAATTTTAAAAGCGTTAAAATCAACAACGATCTATGGCCCAGGACTCGGGTTACATCTGGGCCCATATCTTCTGATGTTGAAAACTGTGAATCCGGAAATGCATGTTTTATAACAACAGCTTCATTAACCGTTTTCATATACTAACTACTAATGCTATTGATAAAATACTCACTTGTACTCTCAGCGTTTCGACGTAATTAGTTCCATAGGCGCGTCTTGTGAAGTCACAAAGGTTAAACTGAATTTGGTTCCATCCTTCATCCAAGCGCATTGGCATGGTACAAATAAAAGGTTTTACACGAGTGGTACTCTGATAGTTGCTAGCTCGAAATCTCCGCCTAATTTTCTTATCATCTAAAATCTGGGAAAAAGAGTCAGTATGAAACACTCGTTTTACAAACCAAGACTTCAAAGGTGAAATATTTCTTTAGATTCTTAATAATCATCACAAGGAATGGTAACTTAATGCCTAAACTTCGCTTAGGTTCCGCCGGACAAGTGATGAATGTGGTGCTGAAATCAATGAACAAATTTGAAAAGAAAAGCACCTGACGTTAGTTCCCATCAGCTCTAACACAAGTGACTGTATATCATTGTCTGTTATTCTTTTTATATGTCCATTCATTACCTAGATACCTTCATGAGTTAGAAATTTTAAACTACGCTTTTATCCCATATCTGGAGAGGTTTACTGCCAACACTATAAAGTATTGAAAGAAATCCACTTTGAAATGTATTCTTGAACATTTCACTCCGACGGCGAGTTTTACAAACACCCTTTACAAACGTTGTTTATAGCAACAAATAAATTCACCTATTTAAACAAAACACGGCTCCAGTTTCAGTTTTAAAAAGAAAGGATGTTTGTTGGTCTTTTTTTGGTCTTGATAATGATTTTCTCTCAGTTGATGAGTTTTCTTTTAAGAAAGTGGGCAGATAGAGTTTCAATCATGTGTTGAGATAATGAATTCCACTCTTTGATGATTCAATGGGAAAGTCGATAGTCAGCTGACAAGTATTTTGTTCTGAGCTTCTGAACCATTTTGGAGTGTCCTCGTAAATTCTCTGTCTCAGGAGACGAAATACGAGGTTACATCTTGATCAAATTTTCTCACTAAGTAATAATACGCTAAATCGGGTCATCGCCAATTCTTCGATATGACAACAGGAACATGTTTAGTTTAGCCAGTCGACATCATACAGGAGTCAGCTTAGATTCTGTTCTCTGAACGTTTTTTTCAAAACCTTACTTCTTTTTTAAGCAGGGCTAGCGGCTTGCATTCAGTACTCGACTTTAGGACGCACGTTTACTGCACACTAGGTCAAAAAAGTTTTAGCGTCCACATGACTAAAGAACATACGTATTGTCCATAGGGTTCCAAAACCTTCGGGATATCTTACGGCAGTGTCCAGTGGTTTTAGGTCTTGGCTAGCAGTGACTTAAGTCATTG